CTAGAAGAGACAGCCCAAACTTCAATGTTTGGCTTCAATTTAAATAAACTCAAGTTTTATGTTTTAAAAAGAGTCAGTTAGGGGACTTTGACACAGCACATGGAGAATCCAGGAGAACCCTGCAACATTTTGCAGAGGGAGTCTCAGGGCAACGTCTCTGAAAAGGATGGTAAAAGATCTTTAAAGCACAAAGCCTTGGTAAGTGTCCAGAGTGTGAAGTAAGAAGGTCTAGAGAATAGATACAAGTGTGTTTGGTATTCCCCAGAGCCTGTGGGGTGGATACTGGACTGCCCCAGTGTCACTGTACAAGTTGTTCTGTGGAGATGTCTCTGAAGTTACTGTGTTAAAAAGTTTCCTAGACATGTCAGCTGATCTCCTGCCAGTCACCCACCCCTGCTCTGCCAGCTCCTCTCAGAGCCACAAAGTGGCTCAGGGAGTGTTTAGAAATCCACATCAAACTTCAGTGGCAACATATTTTAAGAAGGAAAATAAAGTGCGTGATACCTACACGGGATTTTTACATCAAGCTGGTTCCCAGTGCACCAAGTCCCTGTAGAACTGTGGAGTTACCTCATTTGTGTCCCAGTGTGAGAGTTTGAAGATTCTTTCACAGGACAGAGGCTGAGAAATAGTTCTGACCAAAAAAACTCCAAAAAACCCCACCCAGACAAGCTTTCAGTGGTCCTTGCAAGCATCAGTTCATGAGATTTCAGCACTTAAGCTTACTCTGTTTTGCCTCTCAAGGCTTAGCAGCCACTGCCTGTGGTTTCCTGAGCTGGTTGGCACTGACTGTGCACATGGATGTGTCTTCTCTGGCTGGTGCTTCCATTTATGAGGGTTCAGAAGTTAATTTCTGCTCCAATTCATTGGGCTCTTCATTAGCAATAAATAACAAAAAGTTTGCCTAGGCAAACCTCAGGGCAGTTGTGTGTTGACAGTGCAGCAAGTTTGGACAGTTTGGGGGTTTGTGCATTCTGTTTGGGATTTGTCTCTGTGCTGTAAGTGGTGAATGTGCTGCTTTGGTGCTAAAATAGGTCACTGCATTATTTTAGCTCCAGAGTTGTAGCAGGAAACATCCCTGTAAATAGTCAGGTATTTGGCAATATCCATTTCATCACAGATTGGCTTTTCTCTCAAAGAGATTCAGGTGAAATAGAGGTGGTTCATGCCATTTTCTTTCCTTTCAATTGCTCAGTCTGCAGAGCTCAGCACACCTCTATGTTACCGAGTATCTCTTTGCCATATAGTGTTTTCTGCACAACTTTTAGCAGCACCTCTACTGAGTATCTCTTTGCCATAGTGTTTTCTGCACAACTTTTAGCAGCATTTCAGTAATAAATGCTGGAATAAAATGGGATTTGGACCCCACAGTGAACAGGAACATGATTTCCCATTATCAGAGCATACATTCAAAGCAGAGAGCTATCCTTTCATCTCTCAGCAGAGCTTATTTTAGCCTGGAGCTGTGCTTGGCTGGGTTTGAGTATCTCTTTGCCATAGTGTTTTCTGCACAACTTTTAGCAGCATTTCAGTAATAAATGCTGGAATAAAATGGGATTTGGACCCCACAGTGAACAGGAACATGATTTCCCATTATCAGAGCATACATTCAAAGCAGAGAGCTATCCTTTCATCTCTCAGCAGAGCTTATTTTAGCCTGGAGCTGTGCTTGGCTGGGTTGTTGTCTGAATGTGTTTTGTTGTTAGGTAGGAAAGGGACATGTGGATGGATGTGAAAGTCAGCAAGTGACTCAGCCTGGCTCCAGGGATTTGCATGGAGCTTTTGGGTCGAAGCACATACGTGAAAAATGGAGCAGGGAATGTTCCTCACTGCAGGAGGATGACAGAGAGAAAAGCTTTTGGAACAAGCAGAGCTCTAAATACAACTGTTTTCCTTCAGGACGTTATACTTTTTGTCCTAATTTGACCTTTACGAGGATTGGTGACAGCTGCTCTTGACACAGAGTGTCCTGACAAATGGGAGCTGTTTTGACTGGCCTCACTGCCACTAACACAGATGCCACTCAGGGCACTCCATGTAGAACAATTTACATGGGCAGCAGCATGGTCAGGGATGTTTTGGGCTTGTGTTTACTCTGACTTTGCTGCACTGGATCACACACTCATTATTTCACACTTGTGTTTCCTAACAGAAATTTAGACAGAGACTGTGTCAGAACAAGCACACCCAACCTGGACTTCCTGGGCCTCGCTCTGTGATGGTTTGGGGGCATTTCTAGCAGCTTTGCAGCTGCTTCCTGGGATGCAGGAGGGAATTGTTGGTTGTGTTTTCTCATCTGTCTAACACAGCAGCCCCTTAGCCTGGTCCTCACAGGGAATACAGAGCTATCCCTTGGGTAACCTGCACTCCAGAGGTGTTTGCATCAGGAATGATCTCCTCAGGGACTCACATCCAGCACAGAGCACAAGGAGACTCTGATAGTTGGTTTCCTGCTGCATTAGAACAGTAGATGTCTTCTAAGAAATTCAAAGTAGTCTCATTTAATTGCTTGTCATAAGAATCATTGTAGGATTGTTACTAGTTTGATCTGCAAATAGTCCAGTCAAAGACTTAACAAGTTGAAAAATATAAATGTGTCTGGTCTACCCTTTAGGAATTAGAACTGGTGGAGGATGTCTGGAGAGGGGAAGCACAGGACCTTCTTACCCAAATTGCACAGCTGCAGGAGGAGAATAAACAACTGATGACAAACTTGTCTCACAAAGACATTAATTTCACAGAAGAGGAATTTCAGAAGCATGAAGGCAAGTTTGACACTTCCAATTCAGTACTTGCTTTGTTATAAAAAGCAATACACTATCAAAATATTCTGACTGGATACTCTGGTGCTTTCTTTCCTGTAGATGAATGCAGATCTGATTTTTGGAGGCTTGTTTGTTTGCTTATTTGTTTTTTACCTGACTAGAAAATTTCTGTGTACATGATGATGCTGAAGACACGATGAGAGTTGGGGATAGGAGGGAAAGAAAAGCCTGAACAACTTTTTGTTTGGTTGAGAAGCATCTCTGAAAGTAAAATCTAGGTACACATTTTGGTCTGCTGCTTTTTTTAGTTCTCATTTTGCAAAACAACCCAACATTCTTCAGCCTTATGTTTTCTGATACAAATAGAATGATCTATCATGTTTGTTTCACACTGTTGTGCACAAAACCAAGTGCAGCTATTGATCTGTTCAGGGCAAGTGTTTGTAAAGTAGCAAATCAGGATTTCTTTGGCTGAATGGTATCAGGCCCCAAATGGAGATACTCCAGGAGAACACCAGTAGAAGACTGTTTTGGTTTGGTTTACCTGCCTCTAGGGTTCCTTCCCTTTTTTGGGACTCAGAGCCAACTGAGAACGAGTGAAGAGATTTATAATCCAGGGCTGGATGAATCCTAAAGAGCTGAAACAAACTATTTGTGGCCAACCTCTTTCTTGAGGCAAAAGGAAGTTCAAGTACAGGTAGATTTCACTGCAGCAACTGAGACAATTGCCAGGCTCAGCTCTCACCCACAGCTCAGCACTCAGCTCTCTCCCAGGGGCAGAGGAACAGATGTTTGTTTGCTCCACTGTTCTGAGCACAGAATTTGAGGCTTGTGAGATCCTAAGTCCATTTGTGATGTCCTGAGTGTAGCCTGCAAAGTGCCTGAGCAGCCTGAAAACACAGCACACAGCTGAGCCACTGCAGCTCTCCAGTAAGCTCTGGGAACAAAGGGATATCCTTTTCCAGACACCAGAGGCAGGGATTAAGTGGAGGTTTGCTGGAGGTGGATAAAACTCTGTCCCACACTCCAGAAGCTGCACTTGCTGTGTCCCCAAGGCTGAGTGCTGCTCACCTGCCCTTGGGGAAGTGTATAATGAAACCTTCAAAAAGCAAAAATTGTTAAACCTCTCCGGATAACCACTTTTGAGGAACAACTGCAAAGCTTTCCATTTAGGAGTCAATTAGTGGCAAAGAAGTAGCTCAATGTCAGGCTTATAACTCCCGTGCAAAATTGAGCCTGGCAGTGATGAGTCATGGCCCATGAAGACTGACATCTTGTTATAAAGAAGCAGCTTCCCCTTTGTTTTCTTGTCTTTTTTTCCCTCTTTCTCTTTCCAAAAAAAAAGCAGCTCATGTGCTTGCATTTAAATATAGCCACACTCCTCACAGCCAGCTAGCCAAGAAATGCCAGACGTGCTTGTCATGTTATTTTTACTGTGTCTGCCCAAGTGTAACAACACAAACAAAACCCATAAACCCATTCCAGACTTTAGATTCTGCGTTCACTGATATTCTTTGGCCCAAATCATCAGTCTAAGTAAAATCACATTCATTTATAGCAACCCCATCTTATTATTTGGATCTATCATATCAAACCCAACTGTTTTCCTTTGAGGAGATTTTGTCATTAGTGACCAGGGATAGATTTGTCTCAGATGATTTGTTTGGATAGTGTCAGAAATCAGTCCTGCTGCTCTTTTTCAGTCTCCATCCTTTGGTCTGATGCACACAGAGCCCAGACAGGCAGGTTTTCAAGCTAAACACTGTGTTAGCTGCTGTAACTCTGCCCAGGCTCCAGTGCTCCTGTCTCAGCATGGTTTAGTATTGTGATCATGTCTCCCCTCAGTGGCTGTCCCCAGGGATCAGCAGCTCACTGCTTACTCACCACTTAGCTGGAGAAGCTATTTTTAGCACAGGCCACAGAGGCCACAGATTTGGGTGTGCAAGACCTTGAGATTCAATCCTCCCAATTAATAGTCACATCAGAGCTCTCAGAGCTTCACTTGAGTGTGAGGAAATGTTTATGAGAGAGGCAGGGGCAATCCCATCCAAACTGGAGGTTTTGTGGGAGAGGCAGGGGCAATCCCATCCAAACTGGAGGTTTTGTGGGAGAGGCAGGGGCAATCCCATCCAAACTGGAGGTTTTGTGGGAGAGGCAGGGGCAATCCCATCCAAACTGGAGGTTTTGTGGGAGAGGCAGGGGCAATCCCATCCAAACTGGAGGTTTTGTGGGAGAGGCAGGGGCAATCCCATCCAAACTGGAGGTTTTGTGGGAGAGGCAGGGGCAATCCCACCCTAACAGGAGTGTTGTGTGCAGCCTGAGCAGAGCAGGGTTCATGTCAGAGGACATGTGGCAGAACACAAAGCACACAGGAGGGATTAAAGATGAGTCTGTAACATGCATTAATGTGACTCCTCCCAAGCACAAACTGAGCACTGTCTGATGGTGCTGACTGAGTGGAATATCCTAGGAAAATGCCTCAAGGAAGCTTGTCCCAAGGGTGTCAAACAGGACGAGCAGGCTGCTGTGTCACTGCAGTGGGAAGCTGCTGTCTCAGCCTGGCTGAGGTGAGGCACAGGCAGCAGGATGTGTGTGACTCTGCTGTGCTGCAGAACCTCCAGTTCCCTTCCAGAAGTGAAGCTGAACTTAGGTTCTAAGTATTTAGGTAGTGGTTCAGTGCCACAGGCCCTGACTGGCACTTTGGCCTGTTGGGAGAGATGTTGTGTGGACACAACAGGAAATAGATCCCTAAATATAAAGGATGTTCTTTTCTTTTCAGTTACTTTTCTTTTTCCTCTGGTGTCCCCCACCCCAGCTGCTTTCCTTTCTCCTGTTGGAACAGTCCCAGCAATCCACAGGAAGCTGCTCATAGGATGTGCCTGGGGAAGCCAAGCTGGGTGTGCCATTGAAGATCTTGCAGTTTGTATTAGAGTTTGAATAATTTAGAGATCATTATTTTACATTTAGGGCACTTAGTGATTTCCCTCTCCTCTCTCCCAGTGCCTGAGGAGATGGAAGGATATCTGACTGTTTCACAAACACTTCCCACCTTTCCTTTCTCCTCCTCTTGAAAGAAAAATTGTAGTGATCTGTGCACGCAGTTGAAGCCTTTTAGGTTCACCAAATGTTAGGGAGAAGAATGAGCACAGTGGGAGGATAAGCAGTCAGCACTGAAATGGTACTTCATCCCTTAAATAGCATCTGCTATCCAGAGATCTCCAAGCATCTCACAGGTCCTAGGGGATATCACTGCACTCACTTGTCCTAGCTCCTTCTTGGTGAAACCACCAGTGTAAAGTTTCACCACACTCCTTTTACTTCCAGGCAAAGTTCTGGATGTTTTTGTTTTAAATACAGCTGATGTTTTAGGCCCCAGCCCTGAGAATGGCTGCAGCAGGTGGGTCCAGGTTTGGGAGTACAGTGAGGTACCAGAGCTGTGTTGTGAGAGGACAGTGTGGGTCTTTCAGAAGAGTTACACAGCAGTATGTGTCAGTCTCCTTGCCCTCCCTGGTGGGTACAAGCATTAAAATGATCCTGCAGAGAACTAGAGCCCAGAGCACAGGGATGGTAGGGCCCAGGGTCCAGAAATAGAGCAGGCAAATATACCACAGAAGTAAAAGAGATGAGAATGTAACAGTAGAATGTGAAGACCATGTCACTGACAGCTCTTTTCTGGGGTCTGACAGGAACACATCCTCTGAGCCATTCCCAGCCAGCCATGACCACCAGGCCTTTTCCCAGAACAGCTCCCTGTTCTCTGCTGTACCACAGCTCTGGTCCTTGAGCAGTGAGGGATCAGAGCTACTGTTTTCCCTGGGACACTTCCCATGCCTTTGTGGGAGCTCCGAGCTGCACATCCCCCACCATGACTCCCTTTCTCTCCTTCTCTGAGGTTTGTCCTGCTCTGCTGTGTTATCCATCAGTTCACACTGTAGCTGACCTGTGAGCTGGAGTTCCTCAAGGCATGTAGTCAAATTCTCTTATGGGAACAGCTCTGGATTTCTCTGATGAGGGAAGAACAAAACCAGAAAGTCTGAGCTGATGTTGGAGGGTAGAGACTTGCCTGGCTGGATACATTTGATGCACATGGAGCATATTGCTGATGTGGGAACTGCTTTAACATATTAAAAAGGAAGTGGTTTTCCAGCCAGCCCAGAGGAGGGAGTGAATTAACACCACTCACAGTTCATAAATGAAAGAAGCTGAGGATCCACATAATGAAGTACTTTGGATTGGAGCTCCTGCTTGGGCTGGACTTTGGCCAGAGCAGCCAGACACTGCTCTCATCACAGGGTTTCATCTTCAGGGACGTTGTACAATGTGATTCTGTGTGATAGTTTGGGACCATCAAACTGCACATCTCTGTGCAGTTACCAGGGAAGCCAACGCAGCAGATTCATCATCTCACCCAGTTAAATCCTCTGCTCTGTGTCTGCTCTGAAGAGCACATCACTGCAGTGCCAGATCCCCATTATCTCTGCCATGGCACATGGAAGAAAGCTTCCTGTTCTGTGCTTTATCACATTTCCTAATGATTTATTGGTCAGATTTCAGGTTAATCTCACCTTTCATTTATTTTCAGACAGGATCAGTGTTGGATTCTTGGCAATGTTCCAAACACCTTTCACCAGTGAAATGCCATGTAGTAATTTTCTCTCACTTATTCTAAGTATGAAATATCAGACAATAGGATGGGGAAAGGGTGGCAAAACACAAGGAGAAAATATGTGAACATAACTCAGGCTAAACGTTTCTGGGTGCAGGGTGGGTGTACCCTCTGAAGGTTCTGCTTCATCTCCCTCTCACCCCACACAAAATTGGGTTTCAACACAAAATCATTCTAGTCTAGTGCACCTCAGGATCCAGATTCAATCCACAGCAGTGACATGTTTACATCTTGCTGAGGATCCAGATCATCTTTTTTATAATCTTCACAGGGTCTTGGCCAGCTGATTGTACAGAATATCACACAGATATGCAAACTCCCTGGGGCACAGCAGTGTGAACTTTGATGTAAAACTACTGAGGCAGCAGTGTCACTCCACTGGTAGAAATGGCTCTGAGGACTGTCAGTTCCTTTCTTAAGGAGTTTCTGTGCAGTGGCTTTATGGACTGAATTGTGTCATCTGTTTTCTCTATTACCCTTGAAGTAACCTTTAAAGCATCTTCCAACAGCTTCTCTGCAATTCTACCTGCAGGCAACTTCCGGAGTCTTGCCCAAAATATTTCTCACTGTTATTGTTCTCAGTCTCAGCAGCTCCTGATTGTCCTTAGTTTGTTTTCTGTGTTTGTTTTTTAACCAGGAATGTCAGAGAGAGAGAGGCAAGTCATGAAGAAGCTGAAGGAAGTGGTGGATAAACAGAGGGATGAAATCAGAGCGAAGGATCGGGAACTCGGACTGAAAAATGAGGATGTAGAGGCTGTAAGTGGCTCTTAGTCTTCCTATTTCTCTTCCTTCTCACCATGTTTCCGTAGCCTGGTTTCAAGTTTGAAGTTAATGTAGACTGTGGAAGCAATGCCAGATTACTAGTGCTGCAGCTGAAGTGTTCAGCTTGGCTGTGGAGTGTCCAAAATGATGAGGCAGAACTTCAGAGCAGACACACACCTGCTGCTGCCTTCCAGGCCAGGCACTCTTGGGATGAGACTGGAACCAGTGTAACAAGAGAGGAGGTGAAGGAAGAACAGGTTGTTTTGTTGTTTCCTTAAAAACCTGATACCTCTCTCCTTCCTTGGGAACAGGACAGGTAGTTTTCTCGGGTTTCCTGAATGTGCTTTGGCAGTGCAAGCTCAGCACCCCATGGCTCACCCAGCCAGGGATCCCTGCTGTGTGTTTTCCATACCCTGTCTGCAGAGCTGGCAGCAGGGACTCCACACACACTGCCACACCAGGGCTGCAGTGTGGGTCACCCTGCACAGGAAGGGGCTGGGAGGAAGGGCTGAGCCCAGCCCAGGTCACTCACTCCTGCCAGCAGTGACCTTCTGTTCCAGGTTTAGCCTTAGATGAATCACAGACTCCACGGTGACTTCGGGAATGACGTGACGTCTTGGCACTTTTTGTGTCAGGAGGAATGACCTCCTTACCCACATTTTGCTTCCCATCCTCACACTGCCTCGTCTCCTTAGGCCATGGGACTTTGTGTTGCTAGTGAGGGCCAGATCTGGGTGATCTCTGCAGGTGCCACAGCCTTTCAGAGCCTCAGAGCTCAAAGCAAAGTACTTATAAACTGACCACTGAGGATTCCTCTGTCTTGTCTTTCTTCTCCTCTGGGTTAAGATTTGATGCAGAATCCCCTAAGTCACCCTGCCCTTGAACTTTGCTTTTTCGAAACAATATCAGAAGTGACAGATTTGCTTTTAGCTGGAGAATTCTCTGCGCTAGGGGAAAAAATACCTCTTTACTCTAGAAACCAATTCAATTTTGCTGACTGCAACTGTAGTAGATAATTAGATATTAACAAATTATTCCGTGGATGAGGAGGGGGGAGAATTTTCCAGATCAAATCCAAGAGGAACCCACTACATGATGTCTGGGACATGGCTGTTGACCTGTTGCACTGATGTTTTGCAGCTTCAGCAGCAACAGAACAGGTTAATGAAGATTAACCACGACCTGCGGCACCGGATCACGGTGGTGGAGGCTCAAGGGAAGGCTCTGATCGAGCAGAAGGTGGAGTTAGAAGCATATCTGCAAACCAAGGAGCAGGAGATGGGCAACCTGAGAGCAGAGCTGGGGAAGCTCAGAGAAAAACTGCAGGGGGAGGACAGCCAGGACACCCAGAATGGGGAGGAAGTAAAGGTAAGAGGCACTTTAATTCGCTCTTAAACAGCTTTTTTAAAAGACTTCATACCAAGTACTTGTTTGGGTAAAGATGAATGTGATTGATACACACTAGAGGCAATGGTGGGACTTGAAGACAGCACCTTGTGCCCAGGTGTGACACACAGAGAGTGATGTCACTCACTGCACTGTGACCGGGAAGGCCCTGTTAGGGTGGGTGTTGATCCAGTGGAACAAACCTTTCTTTCCAAAAGGAGGGAATCATAGAATCAACCAGGTTGGAAAAGACTTCCAAGATCATCAAGTCCAACCCTACCGTGGTCACTAGACCATGGCACTAAGTGCCACATCCAGTCTCATCCTGAAAGCCTCCAGGGATGGTGAATCCACCACCTCCCTGGGCAGCACATTCCAATGCCTGAGCACTCTCTCTGTAAAAAATCTCTTCCTAATATCCAACCAGAACCTCCCCTGGCACCTCAATGTCCCTCCTGAGCTGAGGGGCCCAGAACTGAGCACAGTAAACTGGTCTCACAGAAGGCAGAGTGGCAGCACAAGTTAGCAGTGAGGGAACAGTTCTGCCCTTAGACTTGGCTACCCATCCTCCATCCTAGGGAGTGTGACCTTTGGGTCATGCACTAGGGCACAGAATTTGCCAGGTATCAGAACAAATCATTGCCTCAAAAGAGAATGTTCTATTAAAAACAGCATGAATTGATCCAAAATCTCTGGAATATCAGCTGTTAGTTGGTGTTGGAGGCAGACAGCCTTTTGGCAGGGCTGTATCAGCACATCCAGCTTCATTTTGTTTGTACACACCTACCCCTTCTCCCACAACAACCAAACCAATCCCTAAAATTTGGGCTTTCCAAAGACAAGCAGCTGACAAGTAGCTTCAGATTTGCCAAGTCTGCAAATAAGCAGAGCCTGATGAGTCCCAAAGGTGCACTGTGGTGGTGGAGGCATGTGAACCACAGGGGAGAAGAAACTGTGTCAGAAGCAGCCCCAGAGGCAGTGTAGAACTCTGCACACCTGGTCCTCACGGTGCTTTGGATCTGTCAGGACTGAGCTGGTTTATTGCTACCAAATCCAAGTATAAATACTTAAAGGCATCTCTCAGAGGAACCAACTTTGGCCTTATTTCTGCCTTTGCTTCCGTTTGGAATTTGTGTAGTGAAGTGTTATGAGCACAAATGTCCATGAAAAGCAAACATTACTGCTGGGGTGCTGGAGTGGAGCACAGAATAGGCAGAGTGAGTGGGCAAATGCAGCTGGTGCTGAGGTCTGAGCAGCAGG